ACTCCCCCCAGCCTGTCGCAACAGACGGCTGCCCCATCCTGAGCTGATGTCTTCCTGTTATAAGGGAGTTTTTCCTTCCTACTTTTGCCAAGTGCTTACTCATACAGGGTTGTTTGGGATTTTCTCTGCATTATTGTAGGGTCTACCTTACAATAACAAGTGCCTTAAAGTGACTGCTAATGTGATGTGGCGCTGTATAAATTTAATTGTGTTGTATATCATCACATTTCAATTTTTCAGATCCCTTGCAAGCTTTCACAACTTACCGCTACAAGCAAAAATAACAGAGAAATGTAAGCTTTGTGACAAGTCATGAAAAACAATCCTTCTTTACTGTAAAGCAACTGAAGAAATAATCAGCTATGACACATTTATTTTTCTTTGTGTCATGCACTGACCTTGTGACAAACTACCCAGCAGTTGAGCACAAGCCTTTGCTTTTTTCTGACGCAATAACCTCTAGCCATCAGGTTATTGGAAATAAGTCAATATCAGTTACTAGTGTGGATGAAATCTGGAAAAATAGGTTATGGTGTTGAAAACTAGACCAGATTAGACTTAGTTTAATGTCACTGAAAAAGTATACAACTCAAACAATAAAGAGCAGTTTGCCATCTAATCCAAAGTGCAAGCGATATATGAACACATGCATATACAATATGTACACTCTGAGATAATACACAAGACTACACGCCCCCCATTTTGCCAAAGGTTTTATGAGCCCATATCATTAAATCTGTGTGATTCACATCTTGGGATTCGTATCTTGTGAGTTGCAATAGAGCCACTCATGCTGTCTGAGTCACTGTGGCCGCATGAATTCAAGTTTGCATTGTGAAATCACCTGGCCAGCAAACACATTACTCAGATATGAGATGTGTCACAACCGGGCTCCACCCTCCCGCTCCTCCTCCCCTTCTATTTTTAAACAGGTTTTACTTCTGTCCATAATGAAAATATTTCTGTCCCCAGAGGAGTGAGCGCTCAAGGCCACATGTGTTAATGCCCTCCAGTTTATGGGCCTTTACGTTACTATAACAAAAGCTACTTTTTAAGAATATGTTTTTTTAAAATTGTAGATGGCCTGTATTTGTTTATTTTCTAGTCCCTAAGGACCCCAAAGCGCTTTACACATTCAGTCATCCACCCATTCACACACACATTCACACACTGGTGATGGCGGCTACATTGTAGCCACAGCCACCCTGGGGCGCACTGACAGAGGCGAGGCTGCCGGACACTGGCGCCACCGGGCCCTCTGACCACCACCAGTAGGCAACGGGTGTTATTTTAACAAACTTAGAGAAACAAAATGATAATCTGAGATAATAATGCAAATTACACAGCAAGAATGACAAACTAATGGGAATGACACAAAGGCCATGTTTGGAAAGCACTGACAGCAGCCCTTCGTGTCCGGTCATGCCGGATGATAACCCAGACAGTCTGAGTTTGTACCAGGATTAAAAGGCTTCATCGTGTGGGCAGTTTCAACAAATAAAAAGATATAAATGTGGATTTTGTTTCATTTTACATTTGTTTGAATTATAGTCCAAATTAAGCAGTTGAAAGCTTGTGAAACAAGTTTCCCACAGATATACTCACATATACAATTTACAGAATTATCTCTAACTCAAAAGACAAACAGCTTAACCCTGTGTGCACTGAATTAACAAAAAACGAATACTGTGTGAACATATTTATAATACTACTACTACTACTACTACTACTACTAATAATAATAATGATAATAATAATAATAATAATAATAATAACAATAATAATAATAATAATAATAATAATAATAATAACAACAACAATAATAATAATAATAATAATAATAATAATAATAACAACAACAATAACAATAATAATAATAATAATAAAATAATAATAATAATAATAATAATAAAATAATAATAATAATAATAATAATAATAATGGATTGCATTTATATAGCACTTTTCGGGGCCCTCAAAGCGCTTTACAATTCTACTATTCATTCACTCTCACATTCACACACTGGTGGAAGCAGCTACAGTTGTAGCCACAGCTGCCCTGGGGCACAGAGTGAGCACCATTTTTGCAGATATTGTATGAAAACGAATAGTTAGTTATGATTAGTTTGAAATTGTGCAAAAGCCGCTTCATCCTGTGTGCAAGAATCAGAAGAAAAATACCTTATTAATCCTTAAGGAAACTCCAAGACAATAAGAACAGCAACAGTCTGAACTAAATTAAATAATACAATTTATTGCAAAGTTAAATTATATAATATATTTAAATGAATGTAATTATAAATATCCACAATATTACAGCAATTAAATATATGATATGATTGACATTTCACTCTAAACTATAAAACTTGTTATTTATTATTTTCACTATAGAGGATGTGCAAAAGGGTGTAACTATTGTACTTGTGTACTGTACGACAAGATGAAGGAATTATATGGAGAGAGAGACACAGGCAGGAATGATTTCCTGTGTTGTTCAGTGGTGCATTTGGGTAATCTCAGTCTCTCACTGAACGCGCTCCTGTGACTGGCCAGCATGTCGTGGAGTGGGTGGGAGGTATTGTCTAGCAGGTATTATAAGGTATTGCCCTTATCTTGGACAACATCCGCCTCTACAACACCACCTTAAGGGAGTCCAGCTCCATCCCCAAACATTACTGGCCTCGAGGATCAGTTTATTGAGTCTGTTGGCATCCGAGACCCTCAACCTGCTGCCCCAGCATGCAGCAGCATAGAGGATGGCACTGGCCACAATAGACTCTGACAGCATTGACCGACAAATGTTGAAAGACCTCAGCCGCCCCAAGTGCAGAGGTGTTTTTAACATAGCCCAGTTTATTGTCTATATGTACTCCGAGGTATTTATAGTCCTCCATTGTCCACACTGAACCGCTGGATTGAAACAGGGATCACCGGTTTCCTGGTCCCTGTCAGGCTGCTTGGCCATGTGCACATTCTTCCACATGTTGACTATTGCAACCCCCCTCAACCCCCCCAGCCCCACCCCCCAACAAAAAAACAAAAAACAAAACACACACAGACAAAAAAACTACAACACTAATTATTTGTTTCTCACAAACACTCTGTCATATAATTTGACCTCTGGTCAACCTGCCCATGAGCCAAGTGAATCATTTCCTGTCTCGTGGACACAACTGGGAATGACAATTGGCAGTCTTCCAACAACTGTGATGTATTGGAATTAATTGTTTTGACAAATGACACAACTGATCTGGACCCGTATTTTCTGTTAGGATGTGTGAGCTCACAGATTTCAGTGAGGGATAAAACTTTAAGACTGAGTGCACCTGGTAATTATCAGCTAGACATTAATGGTGGTAAATTATTATTTTAAAAAAATTACAACCACAATCCCCCCAAAATTAGGACAGTGTGTAAAATGTAAAACAGAATACAGTGATTTTCAATTCTCATAAATCCAATGAAAAAGACACATCCAATGTTGAAACTTCCAAAACTTTAAGGAAACAATAAGGTCATTTTGAATTTGATGGCAGCAATACGTGTCAAAAAGGTTTGACAGGGCCATGTTTATCACCGTTATCACCTTTTAACGGCAGTCCATAAGCCCAAGGAGACCAGCTGATGGACTTGGATCGGAGCATATGTTGCTGTAGAACCTGTATAAGCCTTTCAGGATTGATGGGGCCTTTCCAGGTGTGCGAGTTGTCAATGCCGTAGGCACTAACGCACTCCTATACCATCAGAGACACAGGCTTTTTAAAGGACTAATGATAAAATAATGAGCTTGATGGTCCCTCTTCTCTTTAGTCAGGAGGATGGAACGTCCATGTTTACTAAAATGAATTTAAAATTTTGATTCAACAGTTTTCCTTCTTTTTTGCATGATAGAGCTTTAACCTCGTTTGTGGATAGCATAACAAACACAGTGTTCACAGTGATTCTGAAATTGTGTCCAAATTTGTGGAGGAGGATGTTTGCAGATTTGTGAAGTCTGCATCTGTAAGTTGCTCTTTTTATATTATGTTGCCAGATACCCTAACCCGCATCATGTTCCTCCAGTTGTGTCTCTCAAATATCACTTTCTTTTCCAGCTTTCTGTTGCACCATCCAAAATTTTTTGAGATGTTTTGCTCCCCTCGAATTCACAATTCGCTCATATTTTCTATGAAATAGTTATATTAAATATTACATTATATGGTTTTTGAGATTAGAAAATGATTACATTGAGTTTCTATTTACATTTTACATAGCACCCTTACTTTCTTTAGAATTGGGACTGTGTGATAAAAGCTTCATGTCAACGTTTTCCAGCAGCAACAGCCTAATGTGAGATCTTCTCATGCGTATGATCTGTTTTTTCACTTTTAAGTTGTAGTAACTTTTAGTCACAGATATTAATACACAGCACTAAGCTGAGTTACTTAAGCAAGCTTTGAATGATTATGATAGGCGCTCTAAGATTAATTAAATGATTAATCCATAAACAATTACCCGTCATGACTCACTGCCACGACTCTATAAAATATTAGGTATGGATCAAAAGTACATGTGTCACGCATTATTCCCGTATAGAAACCGATTCTTGTAAAAGAGGTCAGTTTAAAGCCGTACAGCTAAAAATAAACTGTTGCTTTTTTTAATTAAGACGATTTATGGGGGCGCTGTCGAATATGAAACGCTGTAATACATGGCAATACACAAAAGGTGGATTTAAAATCAGTTTGAAAACACAAAAAAACTCAAAACAGCTCAATCTAGTAACGAAACACTGGCGGAATCGTTCCGCTTCCACTGCGTGTGTGACGTCAACCGGAACTGACGACGGCAATGAACGGAGTCGTTTTTAATGTAAAAGGTTTTAACGTAAAATAAACTATAGTTTTTTTTTATTTTTGGCAGGTTTAAATTGAAAGATTTGTTATATTTAAAAATGTGCCTTTAATTTGTGAAATTTACTTTTAAGATATCCGAAAAGTAGTTTGACCTCCATACCCAGGATGCACTTCGGCTTGCCATCTTGTCGCGTAAGGAGAGCGGCGGGCAGGAGTTAGCTGCCCGTTAGCTCACAGCCGCTGTAGTAAAGTGGTTATCTGTCAGCTAGTTGCTAGTAGCTGCTGCCAAAAGTGAGCTGTCCCCACGGCGAGAGGCAAACTTCGCCGACTTTGGGACGTTTTCTTCCCACACTGCTGGATTATATATTATTTTTTGACAAGCCGAGGAGTTGTTTACATCATGATGTCGCACATGCTGGTGCCGAGGTAGGGAAAAGTAGCTAACATCAGATAACTTGGCTAACTGCTTAGAAGTACATATATAGCTGAGAGAGGAGAGTGGTCTGAGACACCGGGCCCGCCTCAGACTAAAGTACCGGTGGCAGCTGCTCAGCAAGAACTTTGACAAGGGCCTGTTTACAACTCCGCTGCCGGGACACAAGGAAGGCCGACCGTGTGTGTATGTGTGTGAGGGACAGTGTGTGAGAGGGAGAAAGAGGCCGGGAGGAGGAGAAGAGCTTCGGCCCGTCTGCTGCGACCGGACACCGCGGAAACGTTGCGGGACTACTGTCGTGGTCTGGCCTCGGTTGTGACACGTTTTTTTTCCTCGGACAGGAGGGAGAAGAAAGAGGAACGGTATGGAAATGTACTGTGACGGTACATGCCTGTGTCAAATCCTTTATCTGTGAACACTTAGCAAGAGCAGTAAGCGCAGCTCTTGGTTTCATCTGGGAGCTGACAGAACTTGACGCAGTTAGTCAACATGTCGAAAATGCAGGCGAAGAAGAAAAGTTGTTTCCAGATCACGAGTGTAACGCAGGCGCAGGTGGCGGCGAACACCATCCCTGACGACGCCGAGAGCTTGGACGATCCGGACGAATCCCGGACGGAGGATGTGTCGTCGGAAATATTTGACGGCTCTCGGGGTGAACTGGGGGTGTGTGACAGGAGTTCATCCGAGGAAACCTTAAGCAATGCCGGGGAGTCTCAGGAGGGCCAGCTGCCTAACACGGGGCCTGTCAACGGGGGGCTCTCTCATAATATCAGTATGGTCTCTGGGCGTGCTACCCCACATAGTGTTGGAGGAAGTGTGGGCATGTCAGCTACAGCTCAGCCCTTTGTTTCAGGCTCAGCCACCAGTGCGGTCCCTGGTTCCACTGTATCTAGCACTGCTGCTCAGACAGCTCCCGTGAGCACCAACTTTACTTCCCGTTTCAGAGTTATCAAACTTGACCATGGTACTGGAGAGCCCTTCAGACGGGGCAGGTGGACATGTACTGAGTACTATGAGAGAGATTCAGATTCAAATATTAATCGGAGTGACAGTATAAAGTCCACTTTGACTCATGACCACAGTTTAGACCGGGACAGTGGATTAGGGGCCACTGGTAATTCTGTCTTCACTAGCAGTTGTCAGACTTTGGACACCACCACGGAGAGCGGCTACTCTGCCTCTGTTGGGAACCCCGCCCACCCACACCCTTCAGAGTCTTGGCAGCAAGGCTACAGCTTGGCTTCTCAGATAGGAAGCGGAGCAAGTGCCTTCCAACCTGCGGGGTACACAACTTCATCATCACAGCAACCATATCAGGCTCAGGTTAATATGTTGCCTGTAGCTGCTCAGACCTTCCCCTCTAACAGCTTCAATGGTGTGCACCAATCTACAATGCAGCAGAATACTTCCATGCCTGCTGCCCCACAGGCCCAGCAGTTTCCTTACTCAACTCATCAGCCCCACTTTGGCTCGAGCGCTCAGAACCTTCCTGTGACTTCCATTGCTGTAGGACCCCCAACTAGACAAGTGTCCCCACCTGTAATGACCCCTACTGGTCCTGGATCAGTGGTGCCAGGTGGAGAAGCAGCTTCAGCCCAGGGCCTTACGCTGCAAGCTGGTGGCGCACCATCTATGGTAGCCCCCTGTCAGGCCGCTGGTCAGACTCAGCCTTCAGGAGGGTTAGGCATTGCTCCTGCACCTTCCACCACCACTACCTCTCACAGCGGTGGCCATAATGTGCCTTCCACAGTGCCCAGTATAACCAACACTTCTCTGGGTGTGCCAAGTCCCGGACACCCAGGAGGACATATCCAGCTCCAGGGAGCTCACGGAGGAGCCACAGTAGGCCTTCCCCCCGTCTTCAGTAACCAGCCAGATGATAGCGGACCGAATACTGATGCCCTACCTCAGCACACTGCCGGTGTGGTGCCAGAAAAAGATGGTGTGAATCCTCTCAGCGAGGGCCCCAACCCACCCTCTCCTGCTGTCAGCAGCCTCTTTGGCATCCATATTACCATGGATATGGACGGGGACAGGTAAGAGAGTAAACAAATGCCTACAAGAAATTTTCATTTATTTATTTGTACTTAAAATCTAGCACTAATAGACTTCTACAGCTAGCGACTTTGTATCTGGAAGTGTGCCCTCACACTAAGCATTGTTGTTTCATTCTGGAGCAGTGTGGTCATACTCAACACTGTGTAGAACACCTCTTTCTTCATCACTGCCCAAATAAAGCATGCTGTGACTTAAGTATTCAGTAGTACAAACACAAAGCAGTATTTAATTTTTTTTTTCTGAGTTATGTTTTTGAGGAAGTTTGGATTCGAGGAGTAGAGGGCAAATAAAAACGGGCGTAGATGGGAGCTAATTTCTGTCTTTGTCAGTAATGGGGCACTCACACTGGATCAAGTCCATACTGAATAGTTAGTTGTCTTTTCACCATCCCTTAAACTCCTGTTCAGCCACAGAATGTGTTTCTGCTTTTGAGTCGACGATAACGGGCTCTCGAATAAGTTGCAACACAGACAGTAGCTGTTATGCAGCCACCTCCCCAAATGTGGCTTTAAAAAAAAAAATTAAAAAAAAATTCTCCTTTCTGTCGAGAGATGTTTAGCATACTCACCATGAGCAGTTTTCCCAGTCTTCCCAACCTTGTTAATGCAGACGCCTCACTTGCCTACACAGTGGGCTTCTAATGTACACGTGGTCTACTTTAGGGTCTGTTGAATGGCCTTTGCAGACCTTGAGCTGAAATGTTGCTGCTCTTTTCGATGCAGACAGTACTGCTGGAGAGGTGATGTTTGAGCCAAGAATAACCTGGACGGCGTACACACACACACACACACACACACACACACACACACACACACACACACACACACACACACACACGCGCATACTCACGCATACTCTGTCCTGTATTTGTGTTGGTCTCTGTTTATTAGTGTGCTTATTGTGCATGACATAGTTAGAGCAGTAGGGTGTGTGTTTGAGGGGAAGAGTCCTGATTTTTATTGCCTTTAGTCCAGATACTGATGAAGCAAGTCATATTTGCTTGAGATTTTTTGTCTTAGCAGCATTAAACAAGGCTTAATATAATGAGCGGATCGCAGTGTGCGTCATCATAAAGTGCCGATTTCTTGCTGTGCACGTGCGTGAGACTGAGTGAACGAAGGTGACATCAGTGATTGTGTAGATTGTGGCAACAGGACAGGACGTGTGAAGAAGGTGGTGTGGACAGACGGGAGACACACACCTACATCACAAACACCCGTGGAAATGATAGTAGGCACGTAAGCTGTTTGTGTGTCAGCAATGACACAGCTGACCAAATCAGCTGAACGATGGCTACCTTCTGCTCTGTCTACTTTAAGGTCTGTTCTGAGTCGTCAATGTTGAAACATCAACTTCATTCAGTGTTGACTCATGATATTCTGATATATTGTCTTTGTGTGCACTCGCTCTGCTCTGTAACATTGTAGCAGTACTGTGTGCTGACATAGGTCCATCACAATTAGCATTACAGCAACATGGATAGTGTTACATTGATCTAATATCAAATGCCGCCCCTCTAAACCCAGGCTCAATAGGTTTAGTTAAAATTCCAGTTCAAAGATTCTCGGTCCTGCACATGACATGGGGCATATTCAACTGATGAAAAACTAGTTGAGCTCATTCGGCTACACGGGGTGACTCTTTCTGATGCTTAGAAATGTTGTTTAAAAGCTTTTTTTTTTTTCCTGCCCCAAGATCTGACCTGAAACTGTAAGAGATGCTGTGCCCTGTTACAAGCATACAGAGTAGATGTTGACCTTTTGGTTAAAGTTCATATGTCAGTATTTCAGTTTTTCACTTTTCCTCCTTTGTTGCTGCTCGTGGCTGCAAGTGCATGTTGCTATTTATGAAACAAATATAAAATTTTATCTGTTTCACGTGCTCAGTTTTCACAGACCTCAAAACCTTTGTGAGGAGAGGTTGTGGGGAAAAATGAGTTGGGCTGCCGGTGGCATCATTTTTATGCACATCATCTCTTAAAGTGTCATGTTAACTTGTAACTCATAACTCTTGTAAGTCTCAGATAGAAAGGGATTGTAAAAAAGGAAAAGTTTTTAATGAAACACACCCAGCTTGTTCTCTTCCCGTTGGGTGAACGACCGCTGTCTCGCTGAGGAATCTGTTCCAAGTTTCATTGTTCTGTTTTGAATTAGAGTGCATCACAAAAAGTGGAACAAAGCATTGTGGGGGTGGAGTTGTGAGATGACAATGATTTTCCTCCAGCTTGGAATGGTTAGTGTCTATGCTCGGCGGTCTTCGCCAAATAAAGTGATGAAGCTGCCCCGGGACAAATCGATTTCCATCAGTTGGAGCAGTTGGCTCTCAACTCTCCCAGGAGAGACCACCCCCCTGTTGTAACGCCTCAGTTAGGAATGTTAATTAATAATGTGTAATTGATGACATTGTTTCAAGCGGCCCAGCAGTGGAGGCTTAATTATGCAACAGGATAAAACGCAGTCTGCAGCTAATTCTGAGACTGTTTGCCATTTTGTTGTTTCATTTTCAGGAACTGAACATAAATCAGATTGATTATGTACCTGTAGGTCATGTGATTATGCTTTAAAAATGCCTTCTGTTTTCACGTGTTATTACTAAAAAATACTACTCCTGGTTTATTTATATCCCGGTACTTTGCCCCATGCCCTCCACTTCTTACTAGAGCCTTTTTCCTTACATCTGACTTTTCTCAGCTGCTCCCGCACAGCGTCCACCTTTCCCTGCCCGATACCGTTGCCATTTTTCTTGAGGAAGTTCAGGCAGGTCCTGTTTGTTTTCTGTTTGTCTTTTTGAAATACTGTTTTGACTCATTTTCTGTGCTAAAGTGTAGGTTTGGCTGAGATGAAGCTTCCAAAATGGTGAAAATGAAAGATTAATTACAGCTTCTGTATATTGTTGCAAGTGATTATCTTGTATGGGTGGTGATCATGTAGATTATATGGCTTTGAGACCTTTACAGAAGCAGATTGGTGGTGAGAAAGCGCACGTCCGAATCAGTCTTTACCTCAACAGACCCACAGTACAAAGTCCATGTTTTTTTTTGGGTTTTTTTAAAGGGAAGAGAAGCAGTGTCATGTGTCTGACACGTTTTGCTCAGACACCTACTCTCACCAACAACATGAAAGAGCGTTTCTGTAGTGAGGACCCATCCGATCTGCAGAATCTGCCATCATATGGTGACAAAGAGGGCAGTGCCGTAAACTGATTGTCATGACGTTGTCAGAGGTTTACATGTGGAAATGGCTTGTTTACCTTTCCTCACCTTTGTGCATATAAGCACCTTCATATTTGAGAGCTCCACACTGAGTTGTATGCGAAGAATATGAACGGCAGTAACCCAAGTGAAGGGAAATTTCCGGTCATTCTGCATGTTTGAAACAGCTACCATATAATCACACGCTTTGGTTTATAAACTTTAGGTTTCCGCCAGATTAAAAGACTGCTGCTCTTATCTGCAAAGCAAGCTGATCTACATATGCCAACCAAAAGAGGGCAAGACAGCTGCCAGACTTTCTCAACTTCCCTGACAGTCCACTAATGTCAGCACCGTAAAGTTGCGGAAACTCAAATATTACGCTGTGAATTTCTCCTCATTCACATTGAATGTCACACAAAGCTTTGTGAAAGGTCAGACGCACAGTGAGTTCAGTTTTAGGGGAAACTGTGATTGATCTGCCTCCAGAGGAGTTACACTCCTGCAGCATTTTAGGGGAAGAGTGATACTCAGTTAGTGGAGAGTCATTTTACTGGAAGGGGGGCAACATTTAATGCAGATGGCATTCTTTAAAGCAGCTGCCAGCAAGAATGTGTTAACAGTGGATTGACTTAAAGCTGAGTAAGAGCTTAGCGAGTAGCTCAACGGTTACCCTGTAATGGTTCTCAGCTGACTATTTTGTCACAAATGAGTTGTTTTGGATCTCATCTAAAGAAGAATACTTAAGCCACCTTTTCCACAGCTTCTCTCTTCCATGCCTATAATATATTGGTAACTTTTGGTAATATTTTTCCTTAAGAAAGCATGTCTACTTTCAGTTTTGATAGTCTGAATGTGCATGTGTTGTAGTGCCTTACCCCCTTTGACTTGTAGTTGGAAAAGATTGAGAACAGTGTGGGATGAACAGGCAGGTTTGGGATGGTGTGTGTGTGTGTGTGTGTGTGTTGGTTGGTTTAGTTTCTATAGTGCCTGGAGACAAGGCAGCAGCTATTTTCCACAGATAGCTGACCTGCCTGAACTTCCAGGGGACATATTCCAGGACTGCTGAATGGCTGTGATTGTGGGATGCCCCGGGCTGGAGACTGAGCAAGCGGGTCTGCAACAGCTCTGTTTTTGGGCGAGACCGCTCAGCCTGCCCTCCTGTCTGTCTCCGTCTAGCGTGCCGGCTCTGTCTCTTGAAACGGAGCTGGTAACACACTCTGTCTGTTTCTAAACTGCTGATGCAGTTTTTTTGTTTGCCATAACTGTCTTTTCTGGTTTAATTAAATAACAGTGCTGTTCTTTCATCAGAAGCCTCAGGTCATACTTGGGCTTCCCTCTGCTTTAAATTTGTGCTGGAAGTTTAGGGGTTGAGCAATCACCAGCATTTTTTACATGCTTAATAACCGACCAAATCTGGCTTTTAATCGTGCCTCCTCAAACTACCCTTACAGTGCTGATTACTGGTTTCACTAACTTGGCCAAAAATGGCCCTCTTCATGTGATGGCACAGTAAATTGATTTTAAGATTTTTTTCTTAGGTTTTTTTATTTTATTTTATTTTTATAAATAAAGACTCCCAGAGGTCAGTGGTGTGAGGTAAAGTGGCGGAAAAAATTAGCATAGCAGGACCCACCCTGTTATCACAGCAAGATGTGGTCAGGAGATCACTTCCAAATAGGACGGGTCTGCCAAGGCAAGTAAACAGCCAAGAGCCTGGCGGGCCACTGTAGCTAACTCAGTTTGTGCTGGAAGCAAAGCAATTAAATCAACCAGAGTACGTTCCAG